CCCAGCACCCCGTAGCAGTTAAAAGGCAAAAAAAACTCTTTATTTACTCTCCCATTTCCAGCTTTCATCTCCCTTAGCGCAGGGTCGGTGCTCTATCTCTTCTGACTTTATCCGATGGGGAGTGTGAGGACATCCAGCGTCTCGACAAATTCCAGGTGCCAGGCGATCAGTAAATTTGTCCTGGCGCCTCGTATTTGTGAGCCTGTTCAGCCCCCGAGGTGACCAGCTGCCTGAGAGCAGAGGCGGGCAGTCGACTCACGGAGGGCAGAGGCAGGCAGACAGCTGACTGAAGGAGGGGGCGAATGGCTCATTGAGAGCTAAGGGAGAGAGGTGGGTGGGCGGCTGACTGATGGAGAGGAGGGGGCGGCTCATGGAGAGATGAGGGAGGCGGGAGGCTGACTTAGTGTGGCACTTCTAGAGGCCGTCTAAGTGACTGTCGCTAGAGGTGTCACCAGGCAGCAATGTAAACACTGCCTTTTGTCTGAAAAGTCAGTGTTTACATTGAAAAGTGTGCAGGGACAGTCTATAGACTTCAGAACAACTATATTAAGCTGTAGTGGTTGCGGTGACTATAGGGACCACTTTAAGAATTGTGGAGTCCACTTTAAGAATTTGGCGTTGTCTCTTGCTCCTAACCTTTCTTGCTGGCTCCTAGATTCCAAGCAAATTTGTTAAGCCCTGATTTAAGGGACCAATAGCACCCAGGAAGTGCCTCTAGTGGCTGCCTGATTTCAGGACTAAGCGGGACAAGGACAGTGCAATGAGACAAAGTGGTCTGGGTGACAATAGTATACCTTTATGGATAACCTTGGTAGTGTGGCACCAATAGTTGTAAGAGAAAAGGTCACTGACCCGAATGTAACCCATCAGAAACTGCACTCGGTGATCTGAAAAACCGTGTGCTTCCTCTTTTAACCCATCACCTGTCACAAACCAGTAAAAGATGTTGGAGGAAGCCTGGAACTTTCTCTGGAAATGTTTACTTCTTTTTCACAGTAGCTTATCGCCCGTAAGCTAAGAGTTACTGGTAGAAGTCAGTTGCTTCTAGAATATATGAGCCCCCTTCTGGTTGTCCACAGTCCTTAGGGGACATTATGTGCAACAAGTAATAATACCTAACTGACTTTTCAGTCCGTGAGACGTTATTTATCGATATGATTATTGATTTATATAAAGTAACCTATTTTGCAAGCTAATATAAGATGTGGCATGGCATATACCTTACATAATAGAATCATTCATGAAGCATCTGAAGGTCCTTGAACAACATATTCCAAAACATTACAGGTGTCACTTACTGTTTCAGAAGAAGATACAAATAAAGGACCTAATTTGTATCAATCAAGAAGTATAAATAAAAGAGGTAGAAGTACCCTTTTTAATTATACCGATGATTGATTGATTTAGTGTTCTTCCTCATTTAATTAGGGATTTATAGAAAGAAGCTAAATGTTTGCTTGCATGAGCACCTGCTTAAAATATTTACAATGTTCTGATTTGTCTTTAATTTCTCTTTAGGAAATTCTTAAAAATGAAAAATTTAGAGAAGAAATGAAAATGAAAAGTAAAGAAGCATCACAGGACTCAGAAAATAAAGTTGGAGCTTTAGATCGGCCAGAAAAAACCCAAGTTAAAGGACATGCCTCAGCAAATGTATTTGGCAGACCCACAATCTCCGAAGAGCCAACCAGTACTGGAAACACATTTACACCAGGATCCTGGTCACCAGGACAAAAAGACCAAAAAAAGTGATTAAATTGAACAAATAAAAAAAGATTTGTCACTCCATCCCTAATTAGATGTACAAAAAAGACAGATTTGTAAAACATTGTTTATTCAAAGTTTTCACACGTATTTCTAATAACGCAGATGAATTGCTTTGGATACATTTTGACAGGTTATAAACCCCTAAAATTATGCCACCATGTAATTTACTTGGATCTTCCTTGGTAGGAATGGGTATATCATATTTTTCAGACCCCAGACAACTCCCCATATTTTATTTATTTTTTTATTTAATTTTGTTTTATTCCAAAATTCTTCAATGTCATTACATGACAAGAATTACATACAATGTAAACTCTGGCGCCTATATAGATATACAATCAGCAAGTGTTCTTGACACAGTGAGGTACATAGCATAGTGACAGCGAGTAATTGAGTGGTTTACAACTAGCAGTGACAGGTATACCCATCTGCATTTTTATCATTGTAAATGCATTATCACATATTTTCACTTTACCATATCATTCAACAATAATGACATATTGAACGTATACCTTTAATACAAATAGGAACCGTAACTGAAGGGTATATGTGGGGTAACATAAAAAGCGAAGGGATGAGAAATTGTCTGTATTGGTCTAGTGGTCTCTGCTAAGTTCGAACATTGCATTCTTCACAAAAACAATTATTTAACTGGCATTGTTTTACTCAGTGCAATGGAGAAATTAAATAAATATTTTAATGTTAAACCTATTACACATAAAGAATGACTCACTGAATTAATTTTACAATTGAAGGTAAGGGTTGCCAAGCTAATGTAATAGATAGGCCGTTGATTAAATAAAGTATATTTTGCTTCAAGTAGAGCAGGTTTCGCAATGTTCTGTACTACAATTCGCATTATTCTTAACTAGATTAAACACATTGTTTGCAGATTGAAGTGGGATATACGGGAGTATTTTCTGTACACAGCACTTGTTTATACCTGTTGAATTCTAACTCGTGTGAACTCAGAACTTGATTGCCAACCCTGAAGTAGAACATAAGAATCAAACGGACTTTTGTTTTGGAGCTTTTATTTCATTGTTCATAAACTGATTTAAATAGCCAGTTCACAATAGTAATCCTCAAGGCATACATTTCAACATACAGGCATTGATGCACAAAGCAGTTGAAGTTGAAGTGAACTTAAAAAGCCAACTGACTTTGGGGTGAGACACTATCAGCAGAAATTGCCTATAAACTGTTTTAGACGTGTGATCCCAATATTTAAAGATGCCATAAAGGTTAGAGAGTACAATGTAAAACTACCGTATACACACTAGTAATTTTAATGATTGATTATCTGGAAATTACCTACAATGGATTTCCTATGGCTACACATGTATTTTTGCAATACAAAAAAAAAACACTAATCAGTCCAGTTATCTTTTATTTTGTTAATCTTTTCTCACCTAATGTGTACTCGGTGTCCCTACATGTATGTATGTATGTATGTATATATAAGCAAACATGGATGATGTGCATCACTAAATCAGATAAAGACAGAAAAGATTATCCACACTTCACATATAAAGCATTAGGGATCTGGCGTGTCCCTTTAAATGTGGAAAAAGTAATTGACAAAATAAAGAGTCTAACTAATCTGCACCAACTTGCAGTAATGAAACCTTTTTAAAAAAAATATTTTTATAATATCACTTGGTTGATAAGACATCAGACCCATTTAACCAAAATCCTGTTGTCTTCATAAAGACAATCCCTTGATAAAGCCAACAAGTTGTTGCCGAAACAGGTGCGTTGTATTTCTGCTCTCACATATATCAGCTAAGTGATTCTTTGGTTGCTATTGGTATTATTTTTTGTGCATTTAGATTTTTGGATGTGCCAAGTGTTAATTTTGTAAACTGGGCATAGTAACCATTAGATATACAATTAATTTAAGCTGCAATTGGAGGATGCTCTTATATTGATGCTAGTGGGAAGTTTGGGACAGAAGAAGACCCAAGAATATTTTTTGTGACAGTAAGATGTGAATTCCTATTTTAAGTCTGCCGGATATTAAATCAGGAGGTAAATTTATATATAGTCAACAACTTGTATTTTTTTTTTCTGTGTTCTTTAACCTTTGTGCCACAATAAAGATAGGTTTTGCATTTTCAAAGTAATCGAGAAACTGAGTACTTGTTAATTGGAGAAGAAATATAATGAAAGGTCGTATTTGTTTTTTTTTTAAGTTACTGTTCATATTTTGAATTAATTTCTAAAGGTTACAAGAAGACAATTAAAAAATTGTCAGAATGGTGTTATGTGAAAGGAGCCATAGGTAATGAAGATACGCCTGGCAGCATACGTTGTTTTTTTGTTTTATTTTTACTGATATTAGTGGAGCTCCTATCTTGCATTAGGAAGGTGAATATGAGCATTATTTTAAAGATTAACATTAAAGGATTTGGAGACAGGGTGAATACTAGGAAATAAAAGTGAAGCCAGGGTATGGAAATAACACCCAGGCAGGAAAATTATAGAATACTGTACCTATCAATTGGGAAAAAGGAGGTATATGCCTAAACTTCTTAATAAATACTTGAAATATAAAGAAAGAAGAGCGCTGCTAAAAAGACCAAAAGGTCAAAAAACAAAAAAGATTTAATTGTATATTCAATATGGACAAATAGTAACAAAATAAGTATCTAAATGACAGTTAGTAACTAGACACTTGATACAAAACAAAATAAATGAAAAAGATATACTGTGAAAAACAAGGTACACTCCAGTATCATAAATAATTTATAGAAATAAATACACTCTAGCGCACGTCTGCGCTATAGAGGGGATACGTTCAATACAGCACGATCAGAATGCTAGGAGGGTAAGAAAGATTGTAACGGTACAGTTCTACCTAGGTAAGAATAGATACCAAAGTCTACTAAGTGCTAGCTATAGTATCCGTAACTAAATGATAGATGTAAAAAAAAAAAGAAATAGAATCGGATAAGGTTCAAATTGCTACGGTAGTGATAGCACGCCACTGTATTGGATGAGTGGAGTGTTAAATCCCTAATAAAAATAGATAACAAAAAAGATGCCCACACAGATCGTTTAGATCCGATGTAATGAATAACAAAGGATCTAGATAGCGTGCTGTATACCTACTGAGGGTGATAGCAGGTAAAGGTTCCTACTCTAATCGTATGGGTGTATATTCGATGATCGGCTACAGTATCTGTTAGATACAGAGAAACAGTATAGATTTTAAAATTAACTGTATAGTGATACACTTGAACGAAAAAGAGTAGAGGCATGCTAAAATTCTATAGCCATCCCTGCAGTAATATAGAAGAATTAATATCTGAAGCTTCTCACAATGATAATAAAGCGGATATAAAGCAAAGTTGCCAAGCTGATTCTATCGATTACCCCCCATGCCTTCGAGGGCACCTGAGTCTAAACCAAATACCTATAGAGCTAAATAACAGAAAGATACTGGAGAAAAGATGCAATAATCTAATAAACATGCGGAATAGATCGAGCCCTAAAGCCCCTGACGCGCGCGTTTCACCCACTTAGCTCGTCAGAGGGGGAACCGGTAACCGGGAAATGCCGTGTTTAAAAAGGAGAAGGTGAGTATTGATTGGACAGGGTGAATGATTACGATTGGATATAGTTAGATGACGTAATTAAAGGTGTTTGCCTCACCTTCCCGGTCAAAAGGACGAACAAAAATTAACCCTTAAGGATAATAAAATTAAGAGACCTAATGATAATGGAGAACTTGCAGTGACAAATGTGGCATAATGAAACGAGACTTGAAATATACGCAACCATACTAGCTGTCTAAATGATCTAGACACATGCGAGTTTAAAAATAAGGTCGCGATGTAAGAATTAACAGACAGATGGTCGCAATGTAAGATGTATAATACATAGATATATGGCAAACTAAAAGAGATATAAGAACAGAATAGTTATTAAAGAGAGAGAGACAATTAATCAAACTCTCAATTTAATAAAGATAAAACCCGGAGGAGGGGAAGGGACAGGAGGAATAATATAGACCTATTCGAAACAATGAACTGCTAGAATCTCAGAGAATACTAATAACAGATATGTGAGATATAATAAAATAAAAAAACGCCCAGGCAGTGAGGTTAATTCTGGATTGTTGAATAATCAAAAATAGAGGTTAAGTAACTAGTTCACCTTTAGAAAGATTAGAATTTCAAAATTGCTCTAGTTCAGGGCTTCCCAAACTTTTATGGGCCACTCACTTTTAATGCATATTTTAAAAATTAATAAACTTGGCACATCATGACACTCCATTTTAGAGGCATAAAATTGGCACACCATGTCAATCCGCCTTAGAGGCATACAATTGGCACACCATGGTAATCCGCTTTAGAGGCATACAATTGGCACACCATGGCAATCAGCTTTAGATGCATAAACTTGGCACATCATGGCAGCTTTAGATGCATTAATTTGACACACCATGACAATCGGTTTTACAGAGAATAAAATTGGCACACCATCACGGACAATGTCCCACCCTTCCGGCCCGCCCCGTACCTCCTACACCACACGACAACCCCCACATCACGCTACAAACGCTCCCTGACCATCCGAATCCTTAACGTCGCAAAACACCTAATACCTTTGTACTGGAAAAAAGACACGACCCCAACACTCTCCCTGTGGTTTACTAGAATGGAGGAGTTACGAGTCACAGAGGAGATCTGGTATTCAGCCCAAGACCGAACGCAGACATACTCAGACACATGGACACCCTGGTTGGCACGGATGGGTACAGAGGCATTTCGGACGATGCAATTGACCAGGGGGGAGGGAACCGATGGTCCCCGGGAGGAGACGCTGGGAGACTAGCGGGACGATCCACACCTGGCCCAAAACGCAATACCTCACCTCACCAATCGGAGCGGGGTGGAGCGCGGGTTCGGGGGACCCGTGGGGCGGCGCGGGGGAGGGCCACGACACCTGCTAGGGTGCGACCACTTGCGGGGCTCGGGGCGGACTGCGGCCTCGCGAGTAAAGGGGGTGGAAGAGCGCCTGTTTTGTGAGCTATAAAGCTCATTAGTTAGGAGGGAGTCGCAGGATGCCCCTTAGGTTATTCCCACCAACTCCACCTATGCCGCTGGGCAGAACCAAATTATACTACGGCAGTGGGCCAACACCCCACAATAAGGCCAGGTAGGACCCTGGACACAAGGTCACTGGGGGGCTGCACACCACATGGCCACATGTCTCACTACTGCCTAGAGGCTACTGGGTAGGCATGGGGAATAGACAAACAAAGCAAAACCACGGTGGGGCATGCAAAACCACCCAACGTAGAAATGGTATATATCAAATATAACAGAGTACTAAGCACCACCATGTAACACCGGACCTGCGAGTCCACAATACACATGCTATTTACTCAAGAAAGCGACCTGCGAGTTGCCCAGACACGTATGTCATCACATGCCTTCCGATGTATAAGCTTCTGTGAATGACCAGAGGGACCTGCGAGTCCATGTTTCTCTTTGACATGTTGCAAAATTGACAAAAACGAAAAGGTTTAATAAAAAGATATTTACAAAAAAAATTGGCACACCATGGCAATTAGTTTTAGAGGCATAAAATTGGCACACCGTGGCAATCGGCTTTAAATGTATATACTTGGCACATCGTGGCAATCTGTTAGAGGCATAAAATTTGCACACCATGACAATCCGGTTTAGAGGCATAAAACTGGCACACCATGGCAATCTGTTTTAGAGGCATATCATTGGCACACCAGGGCAATCCGCTTTAGAGGCACACAACTGATTACTCACAGACTCAGAAGCGCTGTGTGTCTCTCTTTCATCCAGGCACCTTTCGTACAGTATCCCAGTGGTAGAACTAATATAGAGAGGGCCCTGGTGCAAGTATGTTTTCTGGGCCCCCCTCTAGTGCAAGTGTGGTCAAAAGGTAGATCCCCATATGTGGGAGAACATCAACATTGCTATGCCAGCTGAGGATCTACCATTTGCCCATTGTTGCAGGGTTGTATTTGTGAGCAGTGTTTGAATGTAAGCATGTTTTTGTATGAAGTATATGTGTGCATATACAGGTGATACTTGAAAAATTAGAATATAGTGCAAAAGTTCATTTATTTCAGTAATGCAACGTAAAACGGGAAACTCCATGTGAAAGTCCCCAACACTTTTGATTTGCCTTTTCCTGACAATCCTCTCCAGGCTGCGGTCATCCCTGCTCCTTGTGCACCTATTTCTTCCACACTTTTCCCTTCCACATAACTTTCCATTAATGTGCTTTGATACAGCACTTTGGGAACATCCAACTTCCTTTGCAATTACCTTTTGATTGCTTTCCCTCCTTATGGAGGGTGTCAATGTCTTCCCCATGATTGTGATTCCTACTGAACCAGACTGAGAGACCATTTAAAGACTCAGAAACCCTTTGCAGGTGTTATGGCTTACTTAGCTGATTAGTGTGAGCCTAGAATATTGCACCTTTCCACAATATTCTAATTTACTGAGATTGTGGATTTGGGGTTTTCATGAGCTGTAAACCATAATCATCGCACTTATGACAAATCACGGCTTGAACTATCTTGCTTTGCATGTAATGCGTCTATCTCATATATTCGTTTCCCCTTTTACATTGCATTACTGAAATAAATAAACTTTTGCACGATATTCTAATTTTTCGAGTATCACCTGAATGGTGTATTCGTATGTACTGTTGCCATTGGAATGTAGTGGTGTAGTGTTAGCATCTAAGTGCAGGGGTGTGTTTGTATGTAGTGTTGGATTTTAAATGCAGGTGTGCTTTTGTGTGTAGTGTTGGTGTTTGAATGAAAGGGTGTTTGTATAGAATTTTAGTGTTGTAATACAGGAGTGTGTTTATTTAATGCATTTGCAGTGCATGTGCAGTGGATAAAGTGTGTGTATATTATGTATATACAAATATATACTATGTGTGTTTTAAATTAAGCATGCTTTTGTATGGAGTATATGTGTGAATGTAGGTGTTTGAAGGCAGGAGTGCATTTGTGTGTAGTGTATACACTTCCACCCACACACAAATACACATGCAAATACACACACTGACAATGGTAACACACAGCAAAGCTCTGTGATTGGCCGAGCTCACTGACAGTCACTTCATGGTCTGGCGGAGGTGGTGCTGTAGGCCGCAGCATGTTCAGGGCTTTCTCCTTGTTACATTGTAAGCCGCTGGGCCCCCTCTTGGCATCATGGACTAAAGGCACGACTAATCAGTCTGCCTGACTGTCTCCTGGGTCCCCGGTGGCCCTGGATGCGTGCGTCACCGTGACCCACCCAAAATCAGGGGTCGCATCCCACACTTTGGGAAACTCTGCTGTAGTTATCCAGTTAGAGACAGAAGATATGCAATTGGTAAACTGATCAGTAGGGCAGAAGAGCGAGAGATCAAAGGGGGAAGTATATTAGTGTGTCATCAGCATGCAGGGAGTACTGAAAACCAAATATAACCTAACAACTCACTCCCAAGCATCCCCTTAATTAGAGGGTTTGCCGAAGTATCATAACCACTACATTACGCTGGTTTTTCATTAGCAGAGAGCGTCGACTGAATGCTAACGGTCAACGAATGAAAATCGTACATGGAATATGAACAGAATTGACATTAGCCAGCCTGGAACTCTCATTCTGGCCTGACTAATCACTGCTAATACTGCACATACAGACCACAAGCACCACAACCACTTCAAAAAACACACAAGTGAGAATTGTCAGGATTTCAGAGTCCATTTCAAACTTAAGGCAAAAATAGCCAAACTGTAAAAATTTGCCAAGTCAGCTATGCTCCAGTTCAGCTACTTTGGCTTCAACCTTTAAATTCTTGACAATCTACTCACTTTAGTAAAAATAAATGTGTAAAGTGTTTGTCGTGCTTATAATATTACTCACTACAATTTTCTTACACAAGACCAAATTAATGTGGGTCACTGATATGAAAACTCCACCAGAGATGTCCTTTTTCCCTAGTGTGGGTCCAACCAGGCAATAGAGCCAGTATAGCTCTACAGCTCTTATAAGAGCTAGTGGTTATAGCAGGTCTAGCTGTTCCCTACAATCATGAGACGAGGCTGCGTGAGGGTGAAGTGAACTGATTTTAATGGGACCACACTTGGCCTTTTATGACAATGCCCATGCAAGGGGTACTCCCACATGATCTGGGTGAGCAACATGGTTTTATGAAGCACAGGTCATGTCAAACTAACTTGATTGCGTTCTACGAAGAAGTAAGTATAAGTATAGATCAGGGTGTTGCAGTGGATGTGATCTATTTGGATTTTGCCAAGGCATTTGATACTGTTCCACACAATAGATTAGTGTTCAAACTCAAGGAAATCGGTCTAGATGAAAATGCTTGTTCTTGGATAGAACATTGGCTTAAAAACAGAGTACAAAGAGTTGTCATTAATGGTAAATTTTCAAGCTGGACAGAGGTGGCAAGTGGTGTCCCTCAGGGGTCTGTTCTGGGACCCCTTCTATTTAACATGTTTATAAATGATCTTGAAGACCGCATTGAAAGTCATGTTTCAGTGTTTGCAGATGACACAAAACTTTGTAAAACAATACAATGTAAGCAAGATATTACTTTGCTGCAGAGGGATTTAGATAGACTGGGGACTGGGCACTCAAATGGCAGATGAAATTTAATGTTGAAAAATGCAAAGTTATGCACTTCGGCGTAAAGAATACACAAGCAACGTATACCCTTAATGGAAGCGAATTAGGGATAACAACACATGAAAAGGACTTGGGAATTGTTATAGACAACAAACTATGCAACAATGTGCAATGTCAATCAGCAGTGGCCAAGGCCAGTAAGGTATTGTCATGCATGAAAAAGGTCATTTATTCTCTAGACGAGAATATAATTGTGCCTCTTTATAAATCACTGGTAAGACCACATATTGAATATGCTATGCAATTTTGGGCACCTGTTCTAAAGAAGGATATTATGGCACTAGAAAAAGTGCAGAGGCGGGCTACAAAATTAATAAAAGGAATAGAACATATCAGCTACGAAGAGAGGTTAACAAATGTAAACCTATTCAGTTTAGAAAAACGTCGCCTGAGAGGGGATATGATAACATTATACAAATATATTCGGGGCCAATACAAACCATTGTGTGGAAATCAATTCACAACCCTGGCTTTACATAGGACACGAGGCCATGCGTTTAGACTGGAAGAAAGAAGATTTCGTCTAAGGCAAAGGAAAGGTTTTTTTACTGTAAGAACAATAAGGATGTGGAATTCTCTGCCTGAAGAAGTGGTTTTATCAGAGTCCAAACATCAGATGTTCAAACAGCTACTAGATGCATACTTGCAAAAACAGAATATTCAAGGATGTAATCTTTCAATGTAGGGTAATAACTGCTTGATCCAAGGATAAATCAAATGTGGCAATTATATAAAAATTATATTTTTCCCTAGTTTGTTGCAAAATTTAAAGTGATTCAAACAGTTTTTTGCCTAATTTTGCCTAAAAAAAAAAAACAAATGTGAGGAAGGCTGAACCTGATGTACACAAGTCTCTTTTCAGCTATGTAACTATGTAACTATATCCAAAAATCACCCAGATCGTATGAGAGGTTCAGGATTTTAATGGAAATCTTATTTCTGACTGACCGCACACGACGCTCCATAGATTCAGGCTGTGCGGTCGGTCTCTTTCGGGAGCTTCAAATACAACAAAATACTGAAAGTAGTAGTTCTTGGGAAAATGAGTCACGTGCCCCTCGTTCGGAAGTTTGGTTTCACCGAATGTCGTTCCAGAAACTTGAACCAAACCGAACGTACTTGCGGCTGGAAGTCATAGTGTTGTTCATGCCGTCGAGTGGCCGATTTAAGTTCCACGCACTTGATGACCAAACAGCACTGTAGGCGTTCACAGAGTTAGGATGGCCGCCACCTCGTGTTCGGCCATACAAACGCTGGCCACCCAGCTGACCCCTTAGAATGTTTTTGATTTTGTGGTTTTCGAAAGTGTGAAAGAGGTCAGCCAGGTTAATGAGGGGCACACGACTGCACTGGGTGGTCGATCCATTCAGCGAATTGTTCGTTTCACAAACAATTGTTCGCTGGGGTTTGGAGCAATTAAATAACAGTGATTCAGGGACAGGGAATCTGTCACAAAAATAGTAAAGAGAATGTGTCCAAGTACAGATTCCTGAGGTACCCCACTGATAACATGACCATGCTTCGAATATACTTCATTAACTACAACCCTCTGTTGCCTGTCACTCAGCCACGGCCTAACCCATTCAACAATATTGGAATCCAAACTTAAAGATGTGTGGAATTCTTTTGGAATGAAGAACCCCTGGATTTACCTCCTCTGCTGGAAGAATGTCTTCCTCTCCATGGTAGGGATCTTCCATATTCTCTTCCAGGTCTATATGACCTGGTATCTCGAAAGGAAGGGTATTTAGAATACCTTCCAGCTCGAAAGGATCCACAGATTTTTCTGTCTTGTGGAAGAAAAGCTCTTTTTCCTTCAGCAGCTCTTTTGATACACTCGTCAAGATTTTTTCCAAACAGCATCTCTCCATGAAAAGGAAGGGCACACAGTCTAGATTTTGATGATGAGTCTGCAGACCAAGATCTCAGCCACAAAGCTCTTCTAGCCGATACCGAAAGAGACATGTTTCTTGTCAGAGCTTTCACCATATCCACAGAGGATTCTGAGGTAAAGTCAACGGCCGGTTTAATATTATTTAACCACTCCAAAAGAAAAGATCTGCTTCTCTCATCTCTGATATCTTCTTCCCAGTTCTCAATCCAGATTTTCAAGGCCCTGGATACTGATCTGAAGGCTATTGCAGGGTGAAAGCCTGTACCTGCTGCTACATATGCTTTTGAAAGATGTCCATCTTCTTGTCCATTGGGTGTCTGAATGAGCCTGCATTGTCAACTGGTAATGTGGTATGCTTTGCCAGTCTAACTACTGCAGCATCCACTTTAGGGGCGTTATCCCAATGGCATGAATCAGATATTTCAAAAGGATAGAGGCGAGAGATTCTGCCTTGTGCTGAAAATTTTTTATCAGTATTGGACCATTCATCCTTAATTAATTCCTTGATAGTATCATGTACAGGAAAGGATGCACTTGTCCTCCTCCAGTCTGAGAAGTAACGATTAGATGTTGACGGTTCTGTAACTGCTTCTTTAAGACTCAAAGATTTACGGACTTTGTAGATAAGATGATCTAGAAAATCTGGGGGAGCCTGAATTTCTTCTTCATCTGATGAATCATCCTGTTGGTAATCTGAAGGGTCATGTAACCGAGGTCTTTTGGTTCTTGTACCTGCTTCTTTAATACCTTGAGTCACCGCTTGCTTTATATACTGCATAATCTCAGTTGAAGGATTAGATGTTCTGGCTGCTTCTGCTAAACATTCTGCACATAATCGTTTGCCTTCCAGTGGTCTTTTATCACAGGCTTCGCATTGATTCTTTTTTGGTGATTTTCCTTTAGATGATCTCACCGTTTTCTTTCCCGTAGAACTATCATGACAGGGAACTATCTCATATAAGCTCTATTTTGTTTTTTTTATTTATTACACCTATAATATAGGAAAGTAAAAAGGCATGGCTTACCTATAACTCTTAGAGTGTGACCTATTTTTATATCCAGAAGAGTCTGAATCAGAAGAGATTGATCTCCTTTTTTCTTTCTCCATATTGGTATTGAGAATAGTCTAAGAAAAGGGACTTGTCATAAGTGAATGCAAAGAAGAAGGAAATATTAAATTGTGCATATACTTTTAATGATGCAAAACCTACCTTTAAGAGCAACTTTGATAATATAGGAACCTTTCAAATTGAAAATTTGTAATGAAGAAGATCCTTTTGACCTAATGAAATGAGCAGGCAATGCTCTTAATCAAATTTGCGTGTGACATCATCCCTGAGGTCACTGCCTTACCCGCGCATGCTCCGAACAAGGTGTGGTAAATGATCAATTACCAAATTAATATATATATTTATTACACAAGGTTCTTCTACATTAAAAGGTATTTATTAGAAGGCAACAACACAATACTATAAATTTATCACAAACACACAGCCCAGATCCACGGAGCAACAACCATAGTAATCCCCTTCCCCACACGTTTGATCTCACCCACGGCTAGGCCTTCACATCTAGTAATGGCTCACTGCTGCAAGTTCAACATCACATCCACCAAGGAAGAAAAGGAAGCAACAGAGTGTAACATGGTTCACCATGCTAGTACACAGCGTCTGCTCACGTCTGCTCTGTAGCACAGCCAAGAAGGAACAGAGAGGAATGGAGATAGGGGGGAGTGGTTATCTCTTTCCTGACTTGTAAAGGTATTGAATTACCCAATTACCATATCAAAGGGTAAAGCATATCCCCCTGTAAGAAAGGCAAACATGAGCTTGGTCACATGACCCCTGGTCACCATATTAGTTTGATGACAGAATGTCACCACACAAGGAGGCCAGCAAATTCTCAAACCCAGAGGCAAAGCAGAATGAGAGGCATCATAAAAGCCTCGCGGGCGCTCGTCCTCGCGCTTAAGCGCGAACTACTGCGCCCTAAGTATTATGCCCAGAAACCTAAGGTTGAATTTGCCATGTGTATGCGTGAAACTCGTGGGAATGCGTGGAGTCAGTGCGCATGCGTGAAATCAGCGTGCAGGCAAAAGGCCGCCGTGCACGCGCTAATCAAGCGCACAGACTCAAGGGCGCTGAAACGGCATGGAGAAGATTATTATAAACATAATTATGAATGAAAAAAGGAGGTATGTGAAAAAACTGTTTAGGCAGTAGGGGGAACCCACATATATAGGTATACTAAATACAGTATATATAAAAAGTATTTATGTGTATACATACATGTGGGCTGTCAATATGGAGAAATATAAGGATCCTTCCAGGATAGAGTCTTCTTGCCACTTCCTGCTACCTCTTGGTCACTGCAGGGAATGAGTTATTGGCATTTTTTTCTCTTGCTACTCCTAGGGTCACAGCAAGCAAACCCCCAGTCACTAAGGGGACACCTTTGCACAGGGCCGGGTACTGAAGCTTCCCAAGGAAGAGAGGCTGAACTCCCTTGGGGGCAACTGATTATAGTCCTATAATAGACTAATTTGGTCCTATAGTGATAGGACAAGAACAAAAAGACTGAGGGAGGAGGATGTAGGAGGGTTTTTTTTTTTTGTATCTTTATTTTAATTAGTTCCTGTCTAATTAGGGATAGGGGAGGAGCTACCCATTGTTGTGTTGCCATGGATATGGCCAGGAAATAAATATATATCAATTGAAAAAAAGTTTTATTATAGATTCTGGAAAGCTTTTAATCCTTCCTTTGCTAGCTCCATTATATATTATAGAATTATTTCTATATTTACATTGCACTGTTTGCAGTGCACTTTGGAATTACACCACTGAAAATTATATTTGCAATGTTATTTTTAAAACCCTGTATTGTTTGAATATAAGAACTAGGTGCTTCTAAATTATTATTTTTAAAATGTGTATCCTATATATCCTTTTTAAAAGTCATACTGCAGTGAATAATGAAAAGAAAATCACTTTAATAAAAAAGATTGAGAGGAAAAAAGGATTTGTATAAATAGCAAAGTTTTTTCTAAACGGGAGTTCCTAGTTAAGAGTTTTACATTTTAGTCATATACAATATTGTTAGAAGCATGAATTGATGTGCATATAATGCAGTCTCTCCTCCTAGAACATTAACATGGACATAATTATGCCCATTTTCTACAGAATATATATGGCTGCCAATTTTTCAGCCAAAGAACTGTGATGCCTTTGTGTTGAGTGAACTACTGTTCTCCTTTATACGCCCTCTAGATAGCATGTTAAAAATACAATCAAAACTAATCATAGAACTTGAAATGCAGATTAGGTAACAGTAAAAATTGTTCTTGATGTGTCAGCTCTTTCTATTGTGTATATTGCAGGTTAATTTCTTAGAATTTATATTCAATATAATTTTTCATTTAAAGACAGCTTGTGTTACATTTTAAAGTGCTTACCTGACAAGTACAATTTCAGTCTAAATTTCTATTAAAAAGGGATAGTAAATGAAAAAAAACAGAGCCTAAAACATTTAAAGGTACATGCATCACTTGACATTTTTTTTAAACCAGAAAAACTTTGAAAAGTATGTAATAAACATTTCTAAACTTGATCAGATTGCATTGCTGGGCACGCCTCCCAGCCAGGGGAATTTCTTCAGCCTCCTACCCACCCATCTCAGTTTCACACCAGTCCACTTATGACAGAAACAGGGCATCATTTTGCAGCAGTAGGAGACAAAAATCGACACCGGAGCCTGCTCTGCATGACTTCCTTTCTTTTCGTCCTATCAGGCTGTTGCAAGAGGTCTTCCAACTGTACCTGTGTAAATATTTCAGGCATTCCCAATGCACTTCTCCAGCATTCCTAAGGATGGGAAACTGGTTATAACAAAGTACTCACTGCAGCGGGTGTGGAAGGCATAAGGTTTTTATTCAGCCTGCAGAGTGAGGAAACTAATTCAAAAGCATTAGTTCTGAATGAGGCAAACAGTTGACTTATTCTAAGTTATAATTGCAGCATGGTCGTATTTATATGGATGTGTATCTGTGGGTTTTATTCACCAAACACTGGTTAGTAGTGAATTAAGTTCCGAACATGCTCCAATGCAGGCCCTAGGTCTATTAGACAATTCCTTGTTTAAAAAAAACCCCCAAAAAACTGATGAATATTAACCAACTCTATTAAAGCAATACTATAAGGTCAGGAACACAAACATGTATTCCTGGCCCTATAGTGTTAAAACCATCTAGCGCTCCTGCCTCAAAAATACAGTAAAAACATACTTAAATTCCAGTCTGCTGCTGGCTCTGCCTCCTTGGCTATCATCATCAGAAGTGATGATCTGAGCCAATCACAATGCTTGGCTGAGCTTGTCAAAGAGGCAGACCAGGGGCAGAGCCATTACAAGTCAAACACAGCCCTGGCCAATCAACATCTCCATACAGATAATGGAGACACTGAATGGTAGTGCAGCACTGCCCCAAGAAGCATCTCTCGTAGCCATCTGAGGAGTGGCTAGTGGAGGTATCCCTAGGCTGTAACATAAACACTGCCCTTTCTCTGAAAAAAAAAAGTGTTTACTGCAGAAAGCCTGAAGGTAACTGTGACAAAACTACATATTTGGGGTGGTCATTTTTGGATTGCATTTAGGGGGGGACCTTAGTACCAAATCCCTGTTCACTCCTGGCTTATTTATTTCAACAGGAACTGAGTTTCACAAGGGCCCTGCTATTGGATACTGGCTCGCCACGTACTAGAGACAGCGACGGCCATCTTGTCCCCAGAACACGGATATCGGGGCTTGGTCGTCGATAACGACCGGAGACCGCTATTTGGTGTGGCTGCGCCTAGTACCCCCAGCGAGCCAACGCTACTACCAAGACTCAAAGACCGTTCACCTTTTTGGAATTAATTTGGTGACTTTAGGACTGACCGACCAAGACCACCAAACTTATGGAATTATTGTGGGCATCCGCCTCGTGCGCAGTCGGTAGAATCTTTACCTTGGTGGCATTTCCGCTGGGAACTTGGGATCAGAGTGCTATTTTGCCAGATTGGACGCTCTGGGCCCAGCTATCTGGACATATATGTGTGGGGGTTTGCATATTTTTACACTGTAATATTTCATGTTTGTGTTTTCTGCTGAGTCACGGTGACTCAGCATCTCATGTGGGCGTGTTGTGGGAGTTTCTGTGTATAATGTACCCTTGACTTGCATAAAAGCCGGCCACTTGGCCTGAATAAAGACATTCCTTTTGTACCCTTCATCTAGTTCCGGCTGATGTTTGGGTAGGTGATTGCTGTGTTGTCTCCTTTCTGTTCGCTAGAATTTTGGTAACAGTCAACTCAGCGCTCCAGGCGAACAGGGCTATAATCACAAAGTCCCTAGCTGATTCGGGAGTGTCTAGAAGAATGGGTATTCGGGATACCAGCGTTCTTAACAGTAACTATTACACTCAAGAACAAATATAATAAGCTGTAGTTGTTCTGGTGACTATAGTGACCCTTTAAGGTCTCAACCTCTTCATAGTTGAAGAGGACATCACTGCAGACTAACCAGGCCTTGTGGACTTTCTGTATATTATAGGCATCCATTTTGCACTAAAAGAGTCGCGGATTGTCAGGGAGAGGTTTAAAACCTTACTGAGGCCACGCTTAAAGAAACACTGTACCATCTTCCAATTTATTATAGTTCAGATCATATATATATTATGCACACTGTATACCACCAAACACCCTTCCAATTATTTATTAGTAATATTTACATTTAAAATAAGCATTTACTGTGTTTAGTTGACATCGCTGCATTACGCCCGCCAGTTTTTGCGTCATCAGTGACTTATCGCTCATGTCCAATCACTAGTTTCTCGTAGAGAAGCACTGCGGACCATACGACCATGAGCGGCATTTGCCGCGATGCGCCAGTCAAATTACACACATAGGGAATCATTGTACTTCAGTCAGGGTGAAGGTTTATTTATCTAGTCTATGATGGCCCTGGATTCTATATAAACAATACACAGTGTTCCTGGCACTCCAGGAATTAAAGGTTCCGGTTTGCCCGGTCAGTAACCTTGCTAGTGATAAGGACTGGCTTTGCAGTAAAAGGATCCCATACACACATTATCCATGTGGGAAGCCCCAATCACCACCATGCCGCTCTTTTTGTGTGTGTCTCAGTCCTTGCTAAGTTCTTACTGGGTTTGGCACGAAAATCTCATGTGACCAACCAAAGCCCGCAAACCGTGCTCAGTCTGGTGACAAACCTCACCCCCTGTCCATACGGTTTCACTGCTGCTTATACAAAAATTTAATACTGGGAACACAATAGTTGTATAGGTGCTTCTGAGTGTGAGGTAGTGGGTGAGTATGCAAATAAGATGTTTTCCCTTTCACCTTAAGACATTAATTAATAAAGAAAAATTTAAGTGAAACCACTATTTTATATGCACAACACCCTGTGTCAAAAGGAAGGATAAAAACTATATAGTTAACAGTATTATAACAGTATCCGAATATTGCTGGCAATACAAAAAGGTTCTTATAGAAATAAATAAAACAATACATAGTGTAACCTGATAAAATTACAATATAAAGTGTGTAAATATATGGTTATACTCACAAATATGGAGCCGTGCCAGGCTCTATATTATCAGCTTTAAGGTACGAGTACTGGCTTCGATAGATGCCCACAGGTAAGGCAAGCAGGTAGGTGAAAAATAGTTTCCAAAACAATTAGAGAAAATATTAAAACAGAACTCAAACAAAAGCAGTGTGTAATAAAGATATACACTACCACAAAGGTCCTAATAAAGAATACAGCATAAATTATACAGCAAACGCATTTCGACATAAGTCTTCCTCAGTGCCATGTTGATAGATGCTGGTTGCTTTCCTTTTATATGGTTTAGTTTATTGCCGAAATCAATTCACCCACAGAGATGCTGGTTTACTTCTGGTCAAGTTCGTATGTCAGTTCACCGTCGTGGTGACATCACATCCGGTCTAATATTGATCAAGTCTCTCTGTTACAGGAAGTGCTGTGGCGTCCATATTGTAAGTGGGTAATTATGCCCACAATTGGGATAATGTAATGTATAAAGTGCTCTGTGGACTTGAAACACTTAAATTAGGTACTGATTATCTACAAAATATAAAAAAATAATAGACAAATAGACCAATGAAACAATAAAATATAAATTATACGTTTTTTTAGTTTAGCAAAATGGAATATTAATTCTATAAAAGAATATTTAAAAATACTAAAAAATATCTTAATCATACATTCTTTAATAAAAATTAATACAAAACTTAAGGCAAATATTTTTAGAATTTATAAATAAAAAAAAATAAAAAGTGAGAATTCAAAATCCAAATTTAAGCCATAGGGGCTTAAAGTTTCCAACTCAAATATCCATATTTTATATTTTCTCTAATAAATTGTTTCGGAAGCAATTTTTCACCTGCCTGCCCTACCTCTATCTATCGAAGCCAGCAATGCTCGGATACTGTGTTAAATACTGTTAAGTATATAGTTGTTATCCTTTATTTTGACACAGGTTATTGTGCATATAAAATAGTGGTTTCACTTTGATTTTTCTTTATTAAATCACTGCTGCTTATCTCCGTGATTTCCTTGAGTTCTAAAAGACCGGGAGGACGTTCTGATATCGCGGGAGCGCGCATTAGGCGGCAAAATGATACCTCACGACAGTTATGCGTGCTGATGTCAGGGTATGGTTGTGTATGAGAGCAGGGAAGTTACATTCCTGGCTCTCAGAATCGGCCGGCTTGGGGGAGTGGCTTAAAGCCAGTCTTCAAAGTCTTCATTACAGGAAACGATTTGAAAAGTAAAAGGAGGAGGAAACAATTAGATTAAAGTTGTTAAAGTGCCTACAGTGTCCCTTTAAATGGACACTCCACAAAGGATTTACTATATTTTAGTTTGGGAATGAAGGAGACTTCAATAACGAAGGTTTTTACATGATCATTAAGTATTAAACAAAAAAAAAAAATTCATAGCAACTTGCCCATAATACATATGAATCCTTAGAGTAAAAATAGTGTTAGTGATCATTAACAAAACATTTTTCCTCACTCTAATATAAATAATTATGCAGATATGAAGACCATCATTTTATTACGAGAGTAAAGACATTCAAACAGACTATATTAATTCCAAAAGAATTACATCCAATTTAAAAAATAACCATCTGGTCAATTGTTAAATAACTGAAAAATCTCTCAATAACAAGTAACAGTACAACAGATGAAACATTTATTTTTGGTAGATAATCATTAAAATAACCTATAACTTGCTGCTGGAATTAAAGCTTCAATCTGCTCAACCAGGTATTAAAGGTGATGTTGTCAAAATGAAATATACTTTTGTTTATTTTTTAATCGCCTTAAAACCTAAGTAAATATGATAATTTAATTAAGAATAACTTGTAGTCATTTTAGAATAACGTAATCATCTCCTGCATGAGACAGTAAGGAGTTGGATAGTTTTGGTCAATATATGGACACACATCATGAACAACATTCATATAACTATCCTGGGCTTTGGAAAATATTAAAGTAAATTGGAAGGAAAACCGTATGCGTCCAAAAGAAGTGTAAAAATTGCTCAAAAATATATTGATAGTAAACTACAAAATAGTTTATCCCCAAAATTATCTATTAGTCTATGGCAGACGGCCATAAAAGAAATGCAATTTTCAGTACATACATTGTGTGTAAAAAACAAAAAGTTGAAATGTTTAATTTACTATGCAGAGCCTTTAGTTTCCACAATTGGAACGACAGTTAGAAGCACCTCTTAATACTTAAATTGGTCAAGCATTTTTGAATCTTTAGAAATGTAAAGAGGGAAACATATGAATGTAAAAAAACATGTTTAGCTGAAGACCTGTTTATTTACATTATAAAATTATATTTCTTTGTTAGTCCTTCTTTGTTCTCTTGGCTTTTGCTATGTTTTCCTGTCGTTTCTGTTTCTTTTTCTGCTCCCGTTCTTTGACCTCGATCATTTTTGCCAATTTCCATGACAGTACTGCACTTGCTAGGAATAGCGGGGTAAGTGCCAAGATTACAGTCGTAAGAAAACCATACGGGTCTTTGGCAGCCCATTCCACCACGTACTCAGCCCAGGCCCTTATATCAATCATGTCTGCAGATCTGCGTCACTAAACAGGGGGGAGGGGGAGAAAGGGAGGAGGGGAATCTCAAATTATTGTAACTGTTTTATAATTTTTTTCAGAAGAATTAATATATGGATGTCAACACAACATAAACATACACATACAACATAATTATTTTCAGGTTATTCAAGCAGAGGATGATGATGATGCAATTCTAAATTTAAAAACAGACTTTCAGAACAAACTTTATTGACTTGCATCTGTCTAAGTCTAACATACACTTATCTTGTCTAGTACCGCAGAATAAGTTGGTACTAGTATATAATTAATACATTAGAATTCTTTATATAGCGCCAACATATTCCACAACTCTGTACAATAAGAAACAAGGCAATCGTTAAATGCTAACAAAACATGAATGACATATGAAGACTGTCCTAGCCAATTGAGCTCACAATCTAAATAAATGATAAATACAATGTAATGATAACTTTGATGTTATACGTTGGCTAAACTGAGTTTAAAATTGTATAAAACTGCTCCTTTATGCACCACTATATAGCAGATTTTATTAGGACTGCTTTACATCAAGAAACGCCACAGAAATAGTACTAAAACTAATGTACAGTTTCCCCAATAGATTAGTCTTTCAAGACCTCAATTCCAAATGAAGTTTGCAGACTGCATTGTTCTACCACCAGAATTTTTACTTCTTGGTTGGTGTATTAGTGTATAATTGTTTCAGCCAGCCTCTTGTAGCAAATTAAATGACAGATCCATCAGCCTTACAGCGACATCTATCTAATTTTGCCCTGTCAAGAAAATAATAGGGTCTTCTGTATAATTAATCCTTTGCAATTCACAACAGATACTTCTCATACTATGAACAACCACATGACTGAAACTGGTTTGCAGAAGTGTTTTTGTCTATTTGTATAAAAATGTAATATTATTCACACAAAAAAAAAAAAAAATTCACTTGATATTAATATATTTTAATTGCCTTTTTTTCTAATTCTAAATAATTATGTTCCATGCTGTAAAAATTGAAATACTAATTTATTTTGAGATGCGTGGAAATTTAAATGGATTTATGAATCTAGGCAATGCTTAGGAGTGGTAAGCAATCTTTATGCTCAGACTGTATCGAATAAGTATCTAAGCAGCAGTTAAGCAGACAATATTTACCCTCCTGATAGTATGCACGGATTCTAATTTTTTAACATTGGAATTTACACAGACCATATCTTATGTCCATTGCTAAAGGCTGGGTTTTCTTGTGGTAACAATACAGTGATTGTGTAAACAAGACTGAACAAGATTGTTCTGCTGCTGTTTCCCATATTAGATATGAGCAGTTTTTATAAGTCCACTTTTGACAGGGAAGGCTTAGGGGGCCTTGGGCAACAACCAATAGCTTATGCGTTGTATTTTTTTTAACCCCTAACTCACAGCACAATACGGGTAAGAGATAGGGATATTCCACTAAGAGGGTCATATTGCAGGAATTAAAATGGAAGTCACTCCTCTGAAATTGAAATTGAGTTTTTCAAATCCTCACTGCTGTAGTTGCTTAAAGCAAGAGTGCTAAGAATTAAAATGCACATCTCTCTATAGCATGTCAGTGGCAAAGGCAACATCATGACCTAATTTTTCTCTAGAATTCTTTATGTGCGCAATTCTCTTTAGTGTTGTTGTTTAGACTATTTACACTGTGTGCTCTGGCTAACCCAGGACGGCTAGGCATTCAATGAAAAAAAAAAATAAAAAAAATAAAAATGAGCAAGTGGGATCTAGCTGGACCACTCCAACTCCATTAAAATCATGATGGTGTTTGTAGGTCCTGTGAGCTCTCTATGGGGGTGAATCATTTTTTTGAACAGCTTAACCTAGGTTGTCCTCCCAGTGCTTGTTTGCTCTGTCCATTTGCTGCCACCTCCGGCCCAGCACTAGTAAGGAAGAGGTTTGTCTTGGACGCCAGTGATAAGCTGAGAGTGCATGTGACTGGTTGCCCATTGCAAGGTAGGTTTTAGAAACGTGTACATTTTGTCTTATCTAAAAACAGCCGTTCATCATTTAACAAAAAAACTGTAGTTTGAATAGTGTCGTTTGCAAAGAGAAAAAAAAAAAAAAAGTATGATGAAAAACTTGAAATCTCTTTTGCTTATGAGGGCATGAAAAACATACAGTAAGATAAGACATCCTTTGAAACTGGAAAAAAATTGTCAAATGTATTTGACACATGAACTGTAAATTCTAAGCACAGATAGAACTTGTGGGAGAGAGGGCATATTGCTTGAAACATAATTAACCACAATAATATCAGTTAAAAGGGGTCCATTCACTCCCCAGGATTTTTAATCTTATGTTAACTATACTGGATATGTAAACATACGTGTTTGCTCTTGAGGTCTAAAAATAAAAAATCCACAATGCTGAATTAACCTCTTTCATGGTGCCTATCAATTGCTATATATTTTTTTGTTTTTCTTCCTCCAATGCAATGTGTGCCAGAACTGAATTGACTTATAAAATCAATTGCCAAGTCTTATAGAAACATAAAATGTGATGACAAATAAGAACCATTCAGCACATAGAATGTGACGGCAGATAAGAACCATTCGGCCCATCTAGTCTGCCCAATTTTCTAAATACTCTCATTAGTCCCTAGCCTTATCTTATAGTTAGGATAGCCTTATGCCTATCCCACGCATGCTTAAACTCCTTTACTGTGTTAACCTCTACCACTTCAGCTGGAAGGCTATTCCATGCATCCACTACCCTCTCAGTAAAGTAATACTTCCTGATATTATTTTTAAACCTTTGTCCCTCTAATTTAAGACTATGTCCTCTTGTTGTGGTAGTTTTTCTTCTTTTAAATATAGTCTCCTCCTTTATTGTGTTGATTCCCTTTATATATTTAAATGTTTCTATCATATCCCCCCTGTCTTGTCTTTCCTCCAAGCTATACATGTTAATGTTTGCACATTGTTCTAAATACTTTCATTAGTCTCATCCTTATACCTATCCCATGCATGATTAAACTCCCTCACTGTTACCCCCTACCACTTCAGCTGGAAGGCTATCCCATGCATCCACTACCCTCTCTGTAAAATAATACTTCTTGATATTTTAAATATTTGCCCCTCTAATTTAAGACTATGTCCTCTTGTTGTGGTAGGTTTTTTTGTTGTTTTTTTTTTTTTAAATATAGTCTCGTTCTTTACAGTGTTGATTCCCTTTATGTATTTAAATGTTTCTATCATATCCCCCTGTCTCGTCTTTCCTCCAAGCTATACATGTAAAGATCCTTTAACCTTTCCTTGTAAGTTTTATCCATGAACCAGTTTAGTAGCCCTTCTCTGAACTCTCTCTAAAGTATCAATATCCTTCTGGAATACGGTCTCAGTACTGTGTACAATACTCCAAGTGAGGTCTCACCAGCATAGGCATGCACCCTAAAGCACAAACACCGCTGTGTGTGTGTGTGTGTGTGTGTGTGTGTGTGTATGTGTGTGTGTATATATATATATATATATATATATATACACACACATATACATATATACACACACACACACACACACACACACACACACTGCTGTGTGTGCTGTTAGTGTGATGTGAGGGTATTTGTGTGTGTGTTTGTGACTTTGCTATTTGTGTGTGAGGGTGTTTGTGTGTGTATGTTTGTCCTGTGAGGGTGCTGTTTGTGTGAGTGTCGTGTATTTGTGAGGGTGCTGTTTGTGTGTGTGTTTGTGAGGGTGTGTGTGTTGTGTGTGAGGGTGTTGTGTTTTTTTAAAAGGTGCTGTGTGTGTTTGTGAGGGTGCGGTTAGTGTACTGTGTGTGTGTGAGCTGTATGTGTGTAGGTGCTGTATGTGTGTGTGCTGTATGTTTGGAGGGATTTGGCAGATTAGTAAATCCTTGCTGCCATGTGCCATCACTGGTGGTCCAGTGGAGAGTGAACTCTAGCCTGCGGGGCTAGAGTTAACTCTCGCGAGATCTGAGCTTTGCCGCAGCAACGCTCAGATATCGCGAGAGGAACCTGGCGGAGCTTCTGTCTAGAGCTCCCTGGGTCCTCTCCTGCCTCCCTCCATGCTGCTGTGGGCCGGTGAGGTAGATCTTTGGTCACCCCGCCGGCCCATGGAGGCTTAGAGCAGAGCCGGCACTCAGATAGCGCCGGGTGTGTGTGTGTGTGTGTGTATATATCTATATATATATATATGCGTACACACACACACACACTCTCACAGACACACACACACACGAACAAATTATTATATTTTAATAAAAAACAATGTCCACCCAGCCTCCTACCTGGAGTGCTGGCGTGGACTTTTCCCTGGGGTCCAGTGGGGCGGGCGCCTCTCTGCAGCTCAGCCGTGGCGAGGGAGCTGTGTGCTGTCTGCTCTCTGCTCCCTCTCGCCGCGCGGGCTGTCTGCTGGAGCTGGGAGCCGGAATATGACGTCATATTCCGGCTCCCGGCATCAGCGCGCGGCGAGAGGGAGCAGAGAGCAGACAGCTCCCTCGCCGCGGCTGAGCTGGAGAGCGCGGGGGGAATCCACCTCTTGCCCCCCCATGACAGGGGCAAGAAGTGAGTGAGGCGCTGCGCGCCTGCAGGAACAGCGTTCCTGCTCAAAAAAAAGTGCAGGAACAGGACTCAAACCATAGGCGTGCCACAGGGATTAGGGTGTGCCCAGGCACACCCGGCGCGCACGCCTATGCTCACCAGTGTTCTGTACAATGGCACGAGCACTTCCCTCTTTCTACTGCTAATACCTCTCCCTATACTACCAAGCATTCTGCTAGCATTTCCTGCTGCTCTTTTCATACATTTAACAGAAAATTGAAATCACATGAAAAAAAAAAAAAAAAAGGTAAAACGTTATAGGTGATTTTTGAAGTTTTATTCAATGGTGTAATTGTTAGAAAATCAACATTTCCCCTTTAAAAGGAACAGCTAGTTTTGTTGATGGATAAAAAAAAACAAAAAAAACAAACAAATGCTGGAAAGGAATGTTTAATTATTCACAAACTCTTAAAATTAATTGTTTTTCCTTAATCCTGTCGTTCCTTTTATAAATCCACAAAAGAGATTTCCTTTCAATTAAACTTTTATTTCTAATTCACACCTGTCATATGTAGTATAGTAGACGAATCCCCATTAACACATTTTTTATAATGACTATAGACCAGGATGAAAAGAATTTATCAGAGTCTTTGAAGTTAATGTTGCTTTTGGCCAACCTAGACCAAAGCCTACAATTTTAAGTATAATCATCAAACAGCTATATTTAAAATGAGCAATGTTTTATTTTATTTCTCAGAAATAGTAAATTGTGTCTTAGTGAATTCCAGTTGGATTGGTTGGCCTCTATTTATTATGGGTTCCTTTAAGTATCACAGACACTTGATAAGATAAAAGGTTATGAGTGCCCTTTGTAATTTAGAACCTAAAGTCGGGCAACCCTGTGTCTGCATTCTAATACTGCTGTCCTTAATCAGCAACATTAGCTGGATTTGTGTTAGCAGGTCTGATCAGCACAGTCAAATTATATTAACCCAGGGCTCGACAAATCCCAGGCGCCCGGCTTGTTCTGGCACCTGGGTGTTTGTCAGCCTGTTCAGCTGAGGCGGAAGACTGAGCAATAAGGTGGGGCAGTGAGGGAGCTGTAATCTACCTGCTCTTCTTACTCTGCTCCCTTGTCCTCCCTGCTACGATGCCGGGATATGAGGTCACTCTGGCGACAGCATCACTAAAGGTAATGCGAGGCAGCAAAGCATTAAGATTACAGGATCACAGCAGTCACACTGGACCCAAAGGAAATGATCCACTGCAACTCTCCCAAAAGGTAGGGAGGTAAGGTGAACTTAAATTAAAACATAAAATTGTGAGAGAATGTGTGTCAGCGTGTGCGTCTGTTTAGGTGACTGGCCCCCCTCATATCGCATGGGAAAGGTGTTTTTACTCACATTTTTTCCCCATGCTGTCACTGGTCTTGCCATGGCTGGGATAATCAGTCTTGAGGATCTCAGCTTTGAATCAATGAATCTCCATGGGGAACATTCAGCGCCGCCATGCAGAACATGGAGATGCTGAATGTAGGTGCTGTACACTGTGCAGCACTGGTCTAGGAAGCACCTCTAGTGGCCGCCTGAGTGACTGCCACTAGGGGTGTTACTAAGCAGCAATGTAATCACTGCCTTTTTTTCCTTTTTTGGGTTATGTTATGATGCAGTGTAGTTTGAATGTTAAATGCACTTTAACAGATCTGTGATTCATGTTGAAAAGCTTGCAGGGACAGACAATAGACACCAGAACAACTGCGTTAAGTTGTAGTGTCCCAATAAGAATTGTATTTGTCATTTTAAAAAAATAAAAAATAAAGAAACACACAAACAAAAAAAAAAAAAAACTGGTGCCTAACTTTTTTAGCTGACTCCTAGATTCAAAGCAAATGTGTAAGCCCTGTATTATCCTAAACTATATATATCTCAAACAAATAATTATTTTCAAAATTATTTTAATAGTCTTAAAAGTAGAGATGTCCAAAGTTTGAGTAAATTTGCCAAAACATTTACAATTATCATTTACACTTTGGCAAAAATAAATAATTAATATTTTAGCTTTCAAATACAAAGATACAGGCATAATTTTGGAATTTACAATGTCACAACATTTCAAGAAACTGAGAAAACATTTAAAATTTACAAAATGTGCTCGGGCCACTTGTAGTAGGCCTAATGATTGCAGATGAAATTTACCTGTTTTGCACAGCAACTGATAATGTAAAAGATATATGTCACACACTCACTCTCTCTCTCTTTGTAGTGAACTGAAATTCAAGTCTCAAAATTTGCTGATTTCAATTTTCCAACATATGCATAATCACAGATTGGCTCTTTTAGCCTGAATTTTGCCTTCCAGATTTCAGTCTGCAACAATTCATAGTGAGAAAGCCTAAATACTGTTTGAGTCCCTAACCAAATTACATTTGAAAAATTGCTATAGAATTCAACTGGGGCTTATTCACAAACCATAACATTTTAGTGAAGTAAAAACGGAATTGTAAAACAGCGGTTTGGAAACATTCTAAAAAGATAGCTATAGTCAAAGCTTTGCTATTTCGGCCTAAATTTATAAATTTGATTTTCAATTCACTTCAGTTCTGTGTACAGTGGATAAATATCACATTCCTTAAACAATATATAAAACTATATTTTATATCTGCATTGACATTATCTAGGATAATTTATATTAGTTTATATAAAATCCACAGTAAATGAAAAATTAATACAGGTAAATATATTTTTACTTTGGAAGAAAAGAAAACAAGCTTTTAAAATAAATATACTCCCGTTTAGTGTCTCAAATGAGCAATGGCATTCTCTTTTTCTCATAAGTCCATTACAGGTGTTCTCTATCTTTCCCAGTTTTCTGATTTCAACCAGTACGTACGTACGTACGTACACACACACCTCAAGCATTCTAACAACCTGGTCTAAAACGTTGTCTTTCACTTATCAGTAAAATGTATGTTCTTAAAAGGATTTGTTTGCCAAAACAGCTTATTAGCTTCATTACTTTGCCAGTACTTACATGGAACAAAGGAATATCCTAAAACTAATCTTAGAACTTAAATTTGATATATTAAATATTACCTGGGTTTGCTTTGTTTGGTAACCCACTGTTCTCTAGATTGGTCACTGTACTATTACCTTAGGAGAAAATCACAGAAGTGGGCATGATCAGTGTAGGTTATTAGGCAACAACTGATAAAATATAGGGATCGACCGATTATCGGTTTTACCGATATAATCGGCCGATATTCGGTATTTTCGGCAATATCGGTATCGGCCAATTCAGATACCGATATTGCCGATAATACCTCCTAGGACCGCCAGGCTCATTACAAGCCCGGCGGTCCTGGGGGGGCGGAGAGCAAGCGCTTACTCACCTCCCAGCAGCTCCTCCAGCTGTAACTCTCGCGAGACCCGCGGCCGTCAGAGCGTTGCCATGGATCACCATGGCAACGCTCCGCGCGACACGCTGGCCGCGAGAGTTGCACTGGGGAGCTGGAGGAGCTGCTGGGAGGTGAGTAAGCGCTTGCTCTCCGCCCCCCCCAGCTCAGCCAATACCACTGGACCACCAGGGACTGTCATATCCCCCCTCCCTGGCCAGGTAACAAGCAGGGAGGGGGGACAAAAAATAATAATTAAATATATATATAAAAAAATAATTTAATAAAAAATTCCCCCTCACACACTCCATTATATACACAGACACTACACAAACACACTGTGTATATAATGCAGTGTGTGTTTGTATAGTGTGTGTTTGTATACAATGCACACAAATACACTGCATTATATACACACACTATACAAACACACACAAACTGCATTATATACACACACTATACAAACACACACAAACTGCATTATATACACACACTATACAAACACACACAAACTGCATTATATACACACACTATACAAACACACACAAACTGCATTATATACACACACACAAACTGCATTATATACACACACTATACAAACACACTGTGTATATAATGCAGTGTGTGTTTGTGTAGTGTGTGTATATAATGCAGTGTATTTGTGTAGTGTGTGTATAATGCAGTGTATTTGTGTAGTGTGTTTATATAATGCAGTGTGTGTTTGTGCAGTGTGTGTTTGTGCAGTGTGTATATTGTGCAGTGTGTATATAATGCAGTGTGTGTGTTTGTGTAGTGTTTATATAATGCAGTGTTTGTGTGTGTAGTGTGTGTATATAATGCAGTGTGTTTGCATAGTGTGTGTATATAATGCAGTGTATTTGCGTAGTGTGTTTACATAATGCACACTACACAAACACACTGCATTATATACACACACTATACAAACACACACTACATTCACTATACACACACTACACAAATACACACACACTCTGCATTCATTATATGCACACACACTTTGCATTTAGTATATACAGCATTCACTTTACGCACACTACCCACACACTACACAAACACTCTGCTTTCATTATATACACACTACACTAATACACACTGCATCCACTACACAAACACACATTGCATCCTCCACACACACACTACACAAACACACACTGCATCCACAACCCACACACTACACAAACACACACTGCATCCACTACACACACACACTACACAAACACACACTGCATCCACTACACACACACACTACACAAACACACACTGCATCCACTACACACACACACACTACACAAAGACACACACTGCATCCACTACACACACACACAGCTCCCCTGTCACACTGCATCCACTACACGTGGCATGTATATTTTGTGCATTTACCTTTAGAAATAGTTTTTATTTTCCAAAATGGTAAATGTACAGAATATCGGCAAATTATATCGGCTATCGGCCTGAAAGTTCACAGAATATCGGTATTGGTATCGGCTCTAAAAAAATCAATATCGGTCGATCCCTAATAAAATACAAATGTGCAAAATTGCAGCCTTAATCATTTACAGCTATAAACAAATAAAAATCTGTTTGATACTTGCATGAAAGCTCCAAAATCAGAAGCCTCAGATCCTTTCCAATGAATTCTGCTCTGGACTACTTTCCCCTCATATATTTCTCAAAGTGTCACACTAATTTATCTGGCTGTACAATGGTTTTAGATCCTAACCCTCCCTTAAATCTAGAAAAAAAAACAACAACTTACCTTACTACAGTGCTGCGCGGGTCTGCTGCCACTGTCACGCCCCAATCCTCCTCCTAGGCTGACATCATCAGAATTTATGATCTCAGCCAATCACAATATTTCCCCATAGAAAGTATTGGGTTGGCTGCAATCATTAATTCTGATGATCTCAGCAAAGGAGGCGGAGTAAAGAACGGAAGCCAAACAACGCCATGGCCAGTCAGCATCTCCCCAGAGGGATGCATTGAATCAATGCATCTCTATGAGGACAGTTCAGCGTCTCCATGCAGAGAGTGGAGATACTGTGCAGTACCGCAAGTAGCCATCTGAGGTGTTCCTAGGTGTGGAGCAGCGCCTGGTAGATCTTAGCTAAGAAGTTAAAAGGCTACTAAAACAGATTTACTTCTTATTCTGGGGTGACACTGTCCTGTCACCATAGCAACTACAGCACACTGTAGTGGTTGTGGTGCTTGGAGTATTCATTTAAAGAGCATGTCAATATTGTGTGATTGATTTGCACATTTTCAGACAAGACATTTTAAGTGGTTGTGAAGGACTTGTGATAGTATATTTTTGTGTTACGATCCCTGATTGTTTGTGTGTATTGTATACACTGAGAATTAGTGTTACACCACTATTCGATATTGCATGTACAGGGGAAGGAGGGGGGAGAAAGGAAGGAGATTAAAAAAATTATATATATAAATAATCATAGCTAGCACACATGACTCTACAGTGTAAAAGCACAAAAAAAATAAAAATAAAAAAAATCTCCAGGAATTATAATAATGTAACTATCAAACGGATTTATAAATAAATAATGCAGACCTTTATTTCAGATTGATTAGGAGTATATGGATCCTCTACCATGCAAAGTATGTTCTGTAGCAATAACTGGCAAATATAACTGCAAAAAGGAAAAGGGAAATTGTTTAAAATGGTTGTATGTAGTTACACTATCACACACTGAGTTGGAAATTACAGGAGTCTGCATGAAAAACATCAAAATAAAGCAAAACATCTTCAAGACAGTTTGCAAACTTATTTACATATCCAGCATGCTAAACCGTGGTTCTTAAAATTGTTCCCATCATTGTACACATGAATTATTATGATTTATAGAGAATTAAATTGAATCTATACATTGTTCTAGCAAATGTATAGACTGCGGAGTGGAATGCGCGGCAGTGCCGCACGTGCAAATTGGCAATGCTTTCCTATCAATGCTCTGCGTGATGGAGGCATAATGTGCCTCCAGCGTCGCAGATGCGCCTCTTGTGGCTGTCCGGAAGACAGCCACTAGAGGCTGGCTTAACCCCAAATGTAAACATAGCAGTTTCTCTGAAACTGCTATGTTTGCATCTGAATGGTTAAAACCTGAGAGGGCTGGCACCCAGACCACTTCATTGAGCTTAAGTAGTCTGGGTGACTATAGTGTCCCTTTAATCTTTCGCCATCCTGTCAATCAATTCTTCGCCAGACTAACTGACTTACAGGAAGAGCAGGAGATTTCACACTTCAAACATGCTATGGGTATTCCTTGCCAGCACAGAGTAGACTAGAGAGTACAGCAGAGGTGGGGAACCTTCGGCCTTCCAGATGTTGTGGACTATATCTCCCTTGATGCTTTGCTAGCATTATGGCTGTAAAAGCATTAAGGGAGATGCAGTCCAAAACATCTAGAGGGCCAAAGATTCCTCACCCCTGGAGTACAGGAACAGGTTGATACAGGCTGAATAACAGTCACTTATTTATCTTTAAGCATCATGGGGTATTATGTTTTACAAATAAAGTAGTCTATTTTGTAGTATGAATTTTGTGGTATGACTGCATGTCTTGTGCAAATATGTACTTTGTTTTTACATTTGTGAATATGGTGTTCAAATAAATAATGAAATTAAATGGCATTTAAAAAAAAAAAAAAAAAAGGTCTGTATGTATTTTAACATGTTCAGGACCAATGATAGTCTAATTATTTATTACAGCTTTCCCACAATGTTGGAAAAGAACATGCATTATTATGCTTAATACACACCGGGTTGTGATACATTGAAAACCAAAGAGACAAATATTTCAAAAAAGTCTCCAACTTGGCTACAGTTAGTGCATGGATATTTTAAGAAACAGTAAAGTGTGTAAGGCGCTTCCATGATATGAAAAATAACTAAATAAATAAAACCTGTTTTTTTCCACATTGGCAATCTTTTCCTAAATTTAGACATTTGGATATTACATGCATTTAGTCTATAACCCTGCAAGTCTGGTTGTTTTCAATAAGAGGTAAATTACTATTGCATAAAAAAGAAAAGTCCTTGTTATCGAATACGTGATTAGTGCATGTATAATCTTCATTTTAGATATTTTATAACTAAACCAAGCTTATCTCCTACAAATGCAAGATACATTAGCTAAACTGTGCTGTCAATATCTTTTCTCTCTGGGCTTTTCTGATACTTTGGAGATTGATGCATAAAGGGAGAGAATGATTATACTGGATTATTCTGTTGCCTATAGTATGTATTCTAGAAATAAAAATAAATAAATTAAAAAACACACACAAATTAAATTTAGTAAAATCAGAGAATAACGGAGTCTGAATAAAATTTCAGAACTCAACCTGCAATATAATTATTATTATTGCCATTTATATAGCGCCAACAGATTCCGTAGCGCTTTACAATATAATTGATCAGATATGTTCTGTCTGAATTCCAAGAAACATTTAACCCAGATTAAAAAACAGAAGTTTATCTTCACTTAGTGCAGCCATGGGTCACAATAAGTGCCTTACTCCTCCTGTATGAGGTGAGTAAAGTCTCGCCAATTTGATAAAATACTGTCTGAAACCGAAATCATTATAAGAGATAATTATTACAGTACTGAACTCTTTACCCAGTCCCGTTTAGAAGGGACATGCCTGTTTTATTGTGTGTAGGACTAGACATGGATGAGGTGGCAACCATAATAATAATAAATAATAATAACAATAAACAATAATAAATAATAATAGGCTCAGTCAGACTCCCAAGGCATGCCAACAGCTGCTTATCAGAAATAAAGTAACCCACCCCACCCCAATACCCTCCAGGCTTCCCAGGCACTGCCCAGCAGGAAACCTACCTGCAGGCTCATGGAGGCAGCAATGCTACCAGGAAGCACACAGCACACCCAGCTGCTGCACTCAACATGCACAAAGCACTTCCTGGTGTCCTGAATGAGAGAAGCGCTGTGATTGGACGCCCTGCGCAGCTCCTCATTGGCCAGAATGAGAGCGTTTTCTTTACAGGTCACGGCGAGGCATTATCCCGGGCTCTGTGATTGGCTGCTTGGATCGTGCTGCTGCAGGCAGTGTCAGTGTGCATTCTAAAGATGGCGGGAGGCTGGGTTTAGCTCACACTGATGGCTGCAGCTCTGTATTCTGAGCGCATGGGGTTTAATGCCTTGTGAACACGCGTGGCAGGGCTTTAAACAGTTCATTTGACTGAGGTTGCCAGGGTGCCCATATTATCCATGGGATATATCCATTAATAAAAGATGCCATGCATGCAGGACTGTACAATGCATACTGTTAGACATTGATCCCCAGCCTCAGTGTTTGAACTCTACATACATTATTATTAGTATTATTTATATAGCACCATCACATTGCATCAATAAGTATATGTGTTAAAGAAAACGTGGATCTGACATCCCTTAATGTAGCTGTAAATTTCAGTTTTATGCAAGCCTCACCAGTGTCCCAATTCAGGAGGGACAGTCCCTATTTTGGGTTTAAATCTGTCTTTTCTATTAAAGTGCCCTTTTTTCCATAGGAGCTCAGTATTCGTGGTTTGTCTTAATTTATAGGAGAGTTCCACTAAAATTTTGCTCCCAGTAATCTGTCTTTAAAGGGATCCTATAGTCCAGGGAAACAAACCCGTTTTCCTGGCACTATAGGGTAAATAGGTCCCCCCACAACCTGGCTGAAGGTACTAAAACCCCTTCAGCCACTTACCTGAATCCAGCACTGATGTCCCTCGGCGCTGGGTCAGGCTCCGCCCCCATCATCAGCCGACGGGGGAGACCTAATGCGCATGCGTGGCAATGGTCGCGCGCGCATTAGACCTCCCTTTGGAAAGCATTATTAAATGCTTTCCTATGAGGATAATTTGATGCTGGAGGTCCGTGAGGAGGTCCAGCGTCAGATAACGGACCAAAAGTCAGTCTGGATTCCAGAAGCGCCTCCAGTGGCTGCCACTGAGGGCAGACTTACAGCTGCAATTTAAACATTGCAGTTTTCTGGAACTCCAACGTTTTACATTGCAGCACTAAGTGCAAAAGGGTCACAGCACCCAGACCACTTCAATGGGCTGAAGTGGTCTGGGTGCCTACAGTGTCCCTTTATCCCCTTAAAGACCAAGGCTTTTTTTGTGATGCAACGCATTTGTAACCAAGTCTTTTTGCACTTTTGTCACCACAATTTCCCCTTTTTTGTTTGTGTTCTAAAGTTGAAATCAGGCTTTCTTTTGATATGCTATATGTATACACAGAACAATATTATCAGAACATATACTATATAGTAAATAATTACCAATAGTGTGGCGTATGTAGTGGTAGAATCAATATAACACTTACCCCTAATAGTTAAGATAATAGTAGATGGCTAAAAAATAGAATGAAACAAATAAGGCGTAATATAGCTTTATATATTGCACTGAAAAAATTCACTTAGGAAGCACTCACATGGTACAGAGCCTGTTGAGGATAAGCTCAAATCTCGTCCACTTTTGTGTACTAAGGTGGCACACAACCTATTCATCCGTAGTGTCCAATAACCCCATATGTAAGGAGATAAAAAAGAAGAAAACAGGGATAGTTATTGCAATAGTCTATCAGGTAATGGATTAGGGGTTTCCTAAAATAGTATGCTCATTATGAGCATAACAATATAAAAACACAGTAAATAATTTTAAAAAAGGGTACGAATACTGGGAATCTGACACTAACAAAAAGTGACTAAATTAAGTGATTAAAAACAATTGATTCTGTATTATTAAAAACACATTTGCAAGTGTGCACTATGGTTAATGATGTAGAAAATGTAGTATATTGTATTAAAAATGTTTAATTATTAATAAAAAAAACTAATAAAAAATATACATAGCATATTAAAAAAGTATAAATAGAAATAGAAAATAAATTATAAAAATTATAAGATATTCAAAATCATCATTCAGCCCATGTAATTTAAAAGTTTAAAAATGTGAATAAAGAATGTGATATTATAAAAAGTGACTTAATTCAAAATCATAATTAAGCCCATGTGGTTGCATAGTATTAAGGTTAAAAATCCATTGCATCCAACAGGAGCAGGCATACAAAACCATGTTCAGATAGTATACCACCCCAGTGAAGCTATACCATATGTGCAAAACCCCAGACGATCTGTGCTGGAGGGGATGCGGACACAAAGGGACGTGTAAGCACATGTGATGGGACTGCCCGAAGGCACAGGCCTTCTGGAGAGAAGTAGGGAGCCTATTAGACAAAGTGTTCCAGAGAAGGGTGGGCATAGATCCATGGGTGTGTCTGCTATCCAGGCCACTCGATGATTGGTCAGGAAGGGACCAAAAACTCTTACGTAAAATCACCCTAGCAGCTAGACTCACCATGGCACAGGCATGGCTTAAACCCGAAATCCCCCAGATCAATATGGTGATACATAAAATAAGAGATATCCACGTCATGGACCACCTCACGGCACTGGTGAGAGGCACCTTGAAAGCATATGAAAAGGTCTGGGAACCCTGGAAGGCCAGTGATAGAGAGAACTGAGGTTAGATCAGGAAATGGGGCACCACCATCACTAACCAAACCCGAACGTAATCCAGACGAAACTCCGATCTCTGTCTGAGGGGCTCCCCCCTCCCCCTCCCCTCTTTTTTCTTCTCTATCCGTTACTCCTTTTCTTCTGAGTTATTGGGAGAAACGGAGACCACGAATTGATGCCACCCACCACAAGTGGAGGGCATCCAAAACAGACGAAGCACTCTACTAAGGTCTCCAATCTTCTAACAGGTTAATTGTTCACTGTTTATTTGTTAACATGTGTCGCCAACAAAAGTACACCTAAGCATGAGACAACAAACATAATACTGTAAGAATCGCATTACACGTTGTATATATGTACTCGACAGTATAAATGTATGTACTATGTTATGCATACTTAACCCCTTAAGGACCAAACCTCTGGAATAAGAGCTAATCATGACATGTCACACATGTCATGTGTCCTTAAGGGGTTAAAAGCCAAAGTGCAATGTAACGACACGCCAAAAATAAAAGAATTAAAACAAAAAAATAAAAAATCCATTGCATCTCTGTTTGTCCAGTTTGTTTAATCAGATCACCCCCTCTTCAATTCATGGTTATCCTTTTAACACCCAGAAATTGCATGTGACGGGGATCACTATTATGTTTGTTTTTGAAATGTTAAGGGAGACGCTATGTTTTTCAAACACTTTTCTAATGTTCCTCACGTGTTCCTGGATTCTAGTGTGGAGTGCCGTAATTGTTCTACCTACATATGCCATCCCACAAGGACAAGTGATTATGTATATTACTCTAGTGCAATGGCATGTAATAATTTATTTAATTCTAAAGATCTTCTTACTGTCTTGTGGGTGGCTAAATTCTTTTATTAATCTTTTTTGTTTGTTGAGTTTTTACATGCCCCACATGTACTGCAGCCATAAAATCCATTGGATTCATTAAAACATTGATTTGTTGTGGTATATGATTATGCACTAAGTTGCTTCGCTAATTTTGTATGCCCCTATATGTTATAATCAGTTTATCCGGAAGTAAAGTGTTGAGGACAGTATCATTTCTCAAAATCGGCTAATATTTATTAATGATTTTCTTTACATGTCCACTACTACAATTAAAATCACAAATAAAATGTAGATGTTGATAGTCTGTATCTTTATTCTTGTCTTTATATTTTATTATTTCGTTCCTGTCTTCATTTTTAACTTCATTATAGGCACTTTCCAATAATTTATCTTTATAGCCCTTCTCTTTAAAATCATTAATTATTCTCTTTTCCTGTTCTTGAAATTTAAAATCATCTGTGCAATTGCCTTTAATCCTCAGAAGTTGTGCTTTGGGTGCGTTCAACAACCACAGGGAGAAGTGGCAACTATTATCCCCTATGTAGCTGTTGACATTAACTTTTTTTTTAAAGTACAAGTTTTCTATGTATTATCTTCAACATAGATATTTAAATCCAAGAAATCTACTAATGATTTACTAAAGTTACTGGTAAGCTTAATGCCCCAATCATTCTAATTTAGATTAGTTAAAAATGTGACCAATGACTGTTCGCCCCCTTTCTGAATTAAAAATATGTAATCTATGTACCAGCAATAGACTACGAGGTTCGCATCCCACCTATAGTCACCGTGGATAAATTTGCGTTCCCAAAGTGACATGAACAGATTAGCATAGCTGGGTGCGAACCTCATGCCCATCGCCGTTCCACAAATTTTTAACAAGAACTGTTACTCAAACCAGAAATAATACACTAAACTGATCAAGTGGTTTTATGGGGGCAAACTTTAACCCTTTCCCCAAAAACTCCTTCTGTGCTTGCGTCAATTCTCTATTGGAAAGATTGAAAAATACATTTAGTTTCGGTGTATGTCTCTCCTTTCTCTTTTGTAATTGTATTCCTCCTCTAACGCCGCTTCTTCTATACTGCGTCTTCTCTTCCCTGGAGACTTTGGATATGAGGGGTTGTCTTTGTGATGTCCCCTCATATGTCTGTGCCAAAAATCCTCATCAACTGTAGGTGTCATCAGAGGTTGGCAACATAACAATATTAACTAGGAATAAAATGTTTAAAAATTAGGACTTGTTTTTTTAAAATACATTGTTTCTCAGTTCTACTATGAAGAATTTCTACACACCAAGTGCAAATAAGGAAAACTAAGTCAAACTTGATTCACTAATTAGTCCTGAGTGCTAAAGTGCTAAACTCAAGATGCAGCTATTGCCCAGAGCACCTACGTTGCAGAGACTTCTCATTGAGGTGCATTGGAAAGTCTGTGATTGGACAGCCTTAGAAGGTCTGGGCAGGGTTAGAAGGTGAGAGCCTGCAAACACAAGAGATCTGCAGGTTTTGTAAGCTGTTTTAGATATAACTTCAATGAAAAAAAAAGTAGGTGAGTGGTTGAATG